TTAAAAATACAGTTATAAGGACAGCAAACAACTCTCAATGGACTATTTTTCCACTTGTATACCGAATAAAGCTTATATCAAACAACTCTTATCTATAAAAAAATATCAGATTCTATTTGTGATAGTACAATAACAACAAATACTAATCATAGAACTGCTAAAAAGGAGGACATAAATAAAAGCTTGACTTTGTTTTCCCTAGGTTAAACAGCAAAAACGTTTGCTTATTGACGACGAGGGAAGGTGACGCCAGTTTCTTGTTAACATAAGAAATGTGGAAGAGTAGCAAGTGAACAGAGCAGGGTTGCCAACTGCAGCGCTAGTATCAATGCGTTTTCTAAAAAAAATCAGAAAAACGCATTGATATTAGCGCTGCGGTTGGCACCCTGGAACAGAGCCAAGAGAAACTGAAAGGAAAACGACGATATTACAGGTGACCTAGAGAACGTACTTGTGCCCAAGTGCTTGGGACAAGTACTCCGCTTGCGTAATGAAGCCGGTACTTGTCTTTTTTCGAGAAGTAAATTTACGTGCAAGTACTTGCTTTTTCACTTGACAAGCACTTGTTCAAGCGCTTGTCAAGTAAAATTGCAAGTACTTGGATTGTTTTCAAGGTAATGTTATTCGGGTGTTTCTCTATATTATCGCTTAATATTCACTTTGGGAACTTATACTATTCTATGTCTGAAGTTCACAAAGAAAACACGTTTTCTTAGCGCAGATATAGTATTCATGTAAATAGATAGTGGCAAGCGGTTCTAACCAGTTTTATCCAAGCAACTACTGATTTTAACCCTATCTTTAGTTAAAAAAAATGTTTATAAGTAGTAAATCAGCAAAACGGACTTCTACGACAAAAAGAGCTTGTAAACACGACACTTATTTCTGAAAGTGGTATGAAAACCACTTTTATATTCGAACTTTTTATAATTTATATCTGCTTTTTAAGTTTTCTAAAGCAGAATTAAAGCATTATGTACTCGAAGAGAAAACTGGATAAAACATGGTGAAATCAGTATGTCAATCGCTTTAAGAAACACTTTATTTTGAGAGATCTCGTATCAAAAGTTTTTCTTTTTCACTCTTTCTTTATATAGAAGTCGCTACATAAGAGTTCAACGGCGTTAAGATAAATTCTTGTTGGATTTCGAAATATAAAGTGTCTGATTAACTCTTTTTAAAAACCCTTTTTATTTTTTGCTCAAACTGGAAAATCCTTCGCTACTTGAAAACCAAAAACGATGTTTTCCTAAACCAAATGCGTTTAGGAAAAGCTCTTCTGAATTTATCAAAGCTAGAAAGCCTGTCGACTCTTTCTAATAAATACTTTTTAGTTTTCTGGTCAAAGAGAAAAACCCCGGTGGTTTTTAAATACGCTTTTTTCGGTTTAGTGTGATAAAAAAGCTCTTACTTGCTAAGAACTTTCACAAAGTACTTCTTAGCAATAAAAAAGCAAGTATTTTTATCATTGAGAAGTACTTTTTAAAGTACATGGCAAGTGAGAAATTTTGAAAACACTTGCCAATTTCTACAAGTACTTCCCAAGTACTTAGCAAGTAATCAAGTACTTGCATCAAGTACGTTCTCTAGGGGAACTCGTTCTGTTTCAGTATTCTAGACTGGCAAATAATTAATGGCAGAAAAAAATAAAATTTTATCACCGAACCGCTAATGATTCTCGAATTTTGCATATCTGACTACTATAGACAATATTGAACGCTCTGTTGTTGTCATTTTCAGCGCATTCATCTATTCTTTCAGCTAAAGAACACTAATTTAGACAGCAAACAGGGATTTTGTATGAGTTTCCTCAAATACTTACATATTTTTGAATTTTTAAGTATGAAAAGTAAATCTACACTATATGAAAAAACAGGGTGCGCCACTTTGAAATTTAACAAAATCTTTGATAAACGAACTGTGAAGGAACAATTGAAAGACATAGTAAGCTCGAAAGAGGTAATCGTACATAAGAAAATTTGTCTCTTATTTCAAAAAAATCATTACGCTCCATACGTTTGAATAGTTAGATTAATAAAAAAGCTGTTTCTGTTATTATACAACAGTTATGATTTTTTTATCTGTATATTTTGTGATTATGTATTATGCATTTATGGAGGTGTATATCCTTGTCTTAGGAAAAACTAACAGTAAAAAACGTTCATTATTACATTTAACTAGCACGCACTTAATTCTCAGAAACTGTACACTTCATAAGAAAAACAGAGTGTATGCATACATGTTGCACCAAAATCTAGACTGTAGTAGTGTCATATGTATCTGGGTATACAATACATTCAGCTTTATCATTAGAGTTGCCAATTCAGAGGGTTAAGAAATCAGAAGAAAAAACCTTACAATTACAAAAAATAAGAAAATCAGTGTCAAAAATTAGAAGGCGTGTTTAGTGTATGACACAGGAGAAACTGTGTACAGCTTAATTTTTTTAAATGAATCTTATTATTGCCACTTTTTTCCTTCTTTGTCCCGTACGACTTACAAAGAAATTCAACTTATGCTTGAATGTGCTATGCCAATCTTTTAACTCTCCAACATAAATTTTAAAAAAAGTTAAAAATCAGAAAGTGATTAGACAAAACTCCAAAATCAGATAAATTGGAAGAGTTGATAACTGTGTTTATCAGACGAAAAGTGTAGCAGTGGAATTTTTTACATGACCAAAATTTGAGACAAGTAGCCATAATTGACGAATAAAATAAATATTTATCCTTTACTAGATAAAATTCTCAACATTTCGGTTCTCTTCTTATAGCCATTCTCGAGAGAAATGTATAAATAGATTTAGATGTACAGTTACACTACATATAGATGAAAATTCAGACGAAGAATAGAATTCGTGAATTCTCAACTATATATATATATGTAGTGTAACTGTACATCTAAATCTATTCGTACATTTCTCTCAAAAATGGTTTTAAGAAGAGAACCGACATGTTGAGAATTTTACGGTACTTCTACAGATCGACCACCTCCTTACCGCCACCATCACTCACCCTCACCACCGCTCATTTTTACCACTAGGGAGGTGGTCGATCTGTAGAAGAACCCTACTTCTCTCAAATTTTGTTTATTTCGATTATTGGCTCTAATACATTCGAATTTTTACATGACATTGTCACATTTTTATCGTAATTTTTCGGGGCAGGGCTATGCAAGCACTCTATCATGTTTAAAGTTATATTATAGTTTATATTGGTAGTTAGAAGTTACCTGCGAACAACAGGTGCCAAATATGGCCGCCGATGATAATTTATTTTCTTACAAACCTACTATTTGTTGACCATTTGATTGTACCGAAATAAAGCAATGAGAAAGGAAAAATAGTCTCTATGAAGAGTGTCGAGAATGCTGTTGTTTAGTGCATCAACGGAATAGGCAGTAATTGGAATAGACGATAGTTAGAATTGAGAACGTTGTACCATACATAAATAAGATATAAATTAAGAAACTGTAGGGTTAAAACCTTTTTTAGGAAAGTGAATCGTAATAAAGTAAATATATATATACAATAAGAACAGAAAAAATTAAACAGTCGTTATTTCAAGGTTTAGAAATATTTGAATTTCAAAATAACATGATTATCAGTATCTTCAATAAAATATTCGTCGAATGACATACAATATGATTAGATATATCATTATGTGTAAAATGCTATTGTCAGGAGGACGCGACATCTTTCTAGTCTTTTTCCTGATGATTACCATGCACCAATTGTAAAGTACAAATCCAGTAATTTTGCAGCCTATAGGAACAGAAGAGAACACAATACAATAAATTCTTGTTAAAATAACTTGCTCTGAATGTGCTCAAGAGATGAAAACATAAGATAAATCCTGTCTGATTTTCTATTACTACTAGCTTTTGAAAGACAAAGTGTAGATTCTGAAACTCAATATTAAATTAAGTCTGCTTCTTCTTGCAATCGAATATGTTCGACAATCCTATAAGTAAACGCACATTAAAACAGTGTACTTTTGAGTTATAAGGTGTTTTCCGTAATAAAATTGCATGTTCTACAACGTGAATGTATATCACGTTTTGATTAGTGTTTCTGAACGATTTTTTCCATAGTATGTTTTTCCACTGTGGAATAGTAGTAGTATTTATTGATTCATGAAGAGTGAGAATCAATGTCACAATGGAAATTGTGTAGTTAGAATTTGCAATTTGATCAAAAATCACTTTACAAATAGATTTATAGTTAGAAATACAACGGAATTGTTAAGGTCACGATATAAATTACAGTTGTTTTCAGTTCTCAATGCAGAGTACAGTAGCAATTCGCTTGCCCACTGTGCTATTAAAAACACTACTTTTGACTGATATATTTTTTTAAGTTTTTATTACTGGAATTCCATAGAGAAAGGAAAAGACAGTGGAAAAAAACGACATCATTTCCAAAATTTATAACGAAATTTGATTTTCAGATGGTATTTTTATGTTTAAATAGTCTTTTTGATTTTAATTAAGATTAAATCGATTCCTACATATATTTAATGTTTTCTTGTCTATACCGGTCTGTACATTTCTTTTACGGGAAATTTTCTGTAAATTATTGTTTTAGTCAACCAGAAGTCAATGAGAAGAAAAGTTTCTTCTTAAATGACCAGATGTAGCGATGTTAAAGTATTTCTTGCGGATTGTTTGTCTTATTTATTATTTTTCTTCTACTCTACTTTTAATCTATTATTATTTGATTTCGGTTTTTGTGTATTTATTAACTTAGTTCTCTTTGTTCATTACTCTAGTTTTTCTTTTGCGTGTTTATCGTTACTCTTTTTGTAGTTTGTCTTTAGTCATTATTAATACAGACTAAGGATGACTATCAATTTTTGTGAGTAAATTAGTCTTAGTCTTGTTAATTTGTTGTTTTATATTTTGAAGTTTGTTCTGTCATATATTATGATGACAATTCAATGGTGAAAAAATTTACATAACAAATTTTATCTTTCTATGACTGATTAATAACTATATTTTAGATGTCCGTCATAGCCCGTTTATCAGCTCGACATTTCAACACTGCTTTCAGGTGTATTGCTGCTATGAATTCCATGACTGTACGAAATCAGGGAACAGCTGCGACTCCAGCAACATCAGCCGCAACTTCGGGAGCGGACATGGTATTTACTTTTGCAGCACCATCCGAGGTTCGATATAAAATTTATTAGTAAACATATAAACACATCTTTATATCAGATGTTCTATATATTTTTTTATTTAGGTATTTTATAACCAATCAAAAAATGTAAAACAAATTGATGTTCCATCAATGAGTGGAAATATGGGAATTTTAGGTGCGTATTATTTAGCTTTTTTACTATTTAAATTCTCGAAAAATTGGACTTATTTTATTTTACCTATGTTTTTAGCTCACCACGTTCCAATCTTGGGAGTACTAAAGCCAGGAGTGGTTGCTGTTATTGAAAATGATGGAACTACAAAACGATACTTTGGTAAAAAGAACGAGAATTGATGGATTTGTCATCTGACGATTAGTTTTCTTTTTGCTTCAGTCAGTAGTGGATCAATAGCTGTACATCAAGATTCCAGCGTTCAATTATTAGCTGAAGAAGCCATAATTGTAGAGAATTTGGATACAAAAGTAAGTACAACATCTCAAAGTTCTAAAATATCAATAAAACTTATTTTCCAGCTAAAGTAATAGATAATACAATACCGACTAACTTGAACTGTTTTGTATACTGTTCAAATGGTATATTTTTTCTATTTGTTATATACACTTTTTATATGTTTTTAGGCCGCACAAGATACTTTATCTGATGCTCAACGAAAACTACAATCTGCCAAAGATGAGCGAGAGAAAGCCGAAGCTCAGATAGAAATCGAATGTGCTGAAGCTGCTATAAAAGCCTCACAAGGAGTATGGCAGTAGATATAGAAATATATTTTCAGAAATTTATTTTAGTACAATATGACATTTTTTCTTCTATTCAACAGTTACACAGTTTAGGAGCAGTTCTATTTTTCCTTTTTACCAATGTTACTATGTTTTTACTTTTTTTATTGAATGAAACAGATAGAGAAAGGTCGACAATGTCGTTCTAGGTTGGAGAAAGTGTCTCGTACAGTTAGCTGTATAACAAATTTTTCATTGTTTGGCTCAACTGAAATCATGTTTATGCACTTGACATATCGGTATTTCTGTCGTTTCTCTGCTTTGTTTTAGATCTAGTTAGTACGCGATTTTCCTTTATTTCAATTTGCATGGAAAAAAAGTTGAGAAAGATATGTTTCCAAGCTTGATTTATGGTTTCAATTTCGATTTTGAGTAGTGTCTAATATCTATCTATTTATGCGATCATTTGTCTATATACCATAATTTTTCTGTCGAACGAGACGTTTATAATGGAGCTGACCTAAATATTTGTGTACCCACGACGGTTCCACTTGCAATTCACCACGTTGTAATATTTGTTGTAACATTTGCGAAATTTTCTTTGAACTTCGACGAAATGTCGTTTGCTTACTTGGATTGGCAGCATTTGTGGCCGTACCAGTTGTTGAATCAAACTACAGAAGGAAAAAGAATATCTGATCAATTCGAATAAGTAAAATCCTGTATGGTTGGAGCCTAATTTCATGCAGAAATGGTAGAGAAAATTGAACTTTGAAATACTATGCATTTCAGAAGTCAATGGAATTAATTCTAACTCGAATAACTCATCGCGGAAAATAGCTAGAAAGATGTGTTTTTCACTGTTGGAAAGAGAAAAGAAAACTTCATATGGAAATTGAACAACCACACCATCTTTTGACGCCACCTATCGAAGAAACTTTTTAAAATGTCCATAGCCTCGAAATTTCCTCTAGGACTTGTCTACTATTTGACATGGTTCGAAAGAGTAGACGATTTTCTTGCATTTTACAGTCGTCTCATATGTTTTGATTTTGCCGTTCGGGCGCTACAGGAAGGTCCCGGAGACGTACCTATACAGATATTTTTATGTTAGATAAATAAAAATAACCTGGAAACAGAGGTTATCGGACACGCTGATCATCGTGCTAGAAAAAGATTTTTCTACTAAAATCTCTTCAAACACTTTATTTACAAAAACATACATTTAGCGAATGTGCAATTCCTTAAAGAATATCCTCTTTAGCATTATCCGAGTCAAATTGCAGCTCATTTTCGTCAAGGTCGTCGCCGACTAGGTTTCGCTCTATGTCATTCACAACAAATTCGTCTGCCTTCTTGAAGATGATCTCATGCTGACGTGCATGCTCAAAGAATGAGCGCGGGGTCGTTTCATCGAGCGCAGCCATATATTCGGAGCTGAGAAGATATGCATCAGTAAGAGTGAACCAGGTGCTCCTTGATCTAACGTAGTTCTTCAGGTAAGCCTTTAATAAAAAAGCTTTAAATGTGAATTTAAAAAGACTTTAAACGAGCCATACTAATTCAATTGAATTAGCACGCGGTACATGCGAGTAGATAACATCAGCTATTACTATCAGAGAGCCAAATTAACAATTCTTTTTGTCGTGTAAAGTAACCAAGTCAAAAAGCCGAATCAAGCCGTACTACGTTTACACTGTCCTGAAAAATGGCTTGTTTTCTTATCAAAAAAATCTTTTTCTAGCACGCAAAGGTGGTGAAAATAAATATTGGCACGATGATCAGCGTGTCCGATAACCTCTGTTTCCAGGTTATTTTTATTTATCTAACATAAAAATAT